ATGGTTTGATTTCTTTGTATGTGTGGATCACTTGGGATGTTACTGACATCTGATGAAAATTTCATGTCATTAGCACCTCTAGCAATACATGTACTGAGAAAAATGGTGACGTGTTCAATACTTATTTTACCCGCTGTATCTCCTGTCATCTGTTAGCATTTGGAGTATTGTTACCAAATTTTCGCTCAATTTGTATGAAATTGACAGACCTTTTTTGTGGTTGCTGAGGTGATTAGCTGTGGCGACTATCTTGAGTCAGATTACCTGTTGTAATTGTACAGATCTGATTCCTTTATGAGATTTTTGGCAGGCCAATGAACAGAAACAAGAAATTACATTATTGGATAATGAAGCTGTAAATGTGAAATCAAACTGAAACCTGAATTTCAAAGTTTTATGTATTCTGGTTTTCCAAGAGGCATCCTAATAACAACTTTCTTCTCACAAAGAGGCAGCTTTTTAAGTGAGACGGRTTGAGTCTCAGACCACAAGCAGAGATGAAACAACGTGATAAAAGCGAGAACAGGRCGGACATGTTTTTTATCAGATGTTCTTGTTGGCAGTGGTAGGAAGTGGGCTCATTCTAAGTGGCAAAAACAGGAGAACTGGATCCAGTATCAGCATCACACAGAGATGATGGAGATCATTCTAGAGCAAAAGTATCTTTTACAATTTCTGTAAGATTTTTCACAAATYTTCAGGTTACTCAAAGACAGAATTAGACTGATTATCAAGCTGCTCCACATTTTGTGGACCCAACATAAGAATGACTAATGACTATGGTTATACTTTTTTCTATCTGATTATATATAAATATTTTGGTTTGCTTTTTTATATTATTAGCAAAATATCCACAATTAATTGTTAATTAGTAAATTAAAAAGGAAGGAAAAAAGCCATGACCTTTTCTCATTAAAAGGAATGTGTTTGTGGAAATCAAGTATGAAGCACAGTTATAACGTAGTTAATTAAGTAGTTAAAAGAGATCTACTTAGTAAAGTATGTGAGAGAACCATTTTAAAGTAGCATATGTTAGTGATTTTTTTTATTCAGTTACACCAATATAGGCAAACCAATATAACATATTTTGAAATAGTATTATGAGTATTTGCATTTAGAAATAAACACATTTTTTATTGAATTTTCTTTTTTTTTATTAGAAAATGTCTCAGATTTATAATCCTAATGTGACCACGTTATAAACTCACTAGTAGGTTGTTAAATAACTAACTAATGATGTTAACAACTGCTTATTTGTTTTTTGTCTTGAAGGATGAAAGAAATCTGGGTTAACCCAGATGATTTCTAGTTTTACATACATGCCTAATGTCAACTCACACTTGGATGTAAAAGATAATATTACAACAATGAGCAGAAAAGAGAGAAGAAACCACCRGGAAGTGGAACTTATTTGTGCCGTTTTAATGAGAGCCAGTTTCTGTGGGGTATTCAGTAACTTTGAACCTCGTCATTTTGTGCACTTGTAGAAAAGCATAGAACAGGGGTCTGGTTTCACTGTTTAGAATAATATGATACCTGAATAACCTCAGGTGTAGGTGGAAGACGTCAGTGAGATTATTTGATTGCTGAGGGGAAAAATACAGGCTGATTCACTTCTAATGTGCTGTTAGTAACTATTGTCGTTTCTACTAGGAAATCGTATATTTTTTTTGAAGGTTGCTTAGATGTTTTTAACATTGAAACAAGTCTGAAATTGAATTTTCTGCAGTTATTAACACACTTATTTACATAAATGCAAAGAGATGTTTGTCTAAAAGCGCCATCTGCAGCAATTAAGATGTTTTTTTTTTTGTTCAAAACTTTTCCACAAAAACACTTCAAAATTCACTTTTTAGTCAAAGCTTGGATAAGAAAGAGAAAAAAATAGTGTAATTTCTTTAACGGTTACAAATTAACATCCTTCTGTTGTCTATTTTTTTTTTTCATAGTTCTAATTCTTCCTCCACCACCTCATTGACCAGCAACTCTCCAATGATGGGAGCAGGTGACTGGGCCGTGCCACAGGCCTCGAGACTAAAGTACCGTCAGCAGTTCAACACGCTCGACAAACTCATGACTGGCTACTTGTCAGGTGGGTCCACCACACACACACACACACACACACACACACACACACACACACACACACACAC